CATACTGAGAATACATGTTAGGTGCTTCGTCATTTAAGGAAAAGATAGGCTATGACCTTTTCTGAACCTAGATTTGGGATATCTCTCAAATCGGTACAATTATAGATCAGGGAAAAAACCTGTTGTTTGATTGTAAGTAATAGCTTACACGAAGGTCACGGTAAGGTCACAAAATTGGTCAAATAACTTTTTTTTCATATTTATTCTAATTTTCATTACCTGTAACGCACATTTTGTTTTAGAAAATACAGAACACAAGGATTGCCTATCTATAAATGAATAGATATATTATGCAGTGGTTATGACATATATCTTGTGTATGAAATTCTAAGATTGGCAAGTCTGTACTCTATGTTTTGGCGACACAAAATATTTCAAATTTCATAAATTATTTCGGTCTTGAGGAAATTCTGTGATATGTTTCACTTTGTTTCCCTGTTGTGACCCCCGTGTACACTTAAAATGAAAATCAATGCATGTCCTTTGCATATATAACATTGTCTAATTTTTTTCAAAATGTATCAATTCCGAAGTTTAATTTGTTTAATGAAATGACAGTGACAATTTTTTAATCAATCAATCAAAAGTGTTTATGTGCATTATAGGAAAATTCTCAGACATATCCTTTTTTTAATAGAACTGGACGGCGGACCTGTAGGATTTTCAGCAGTTCTAACCATGAATGTTACTCTAAGTGGTGGATCTGTTTTAAATTACAACAAAGTCATTACAAATATTGGTAGTGGATACAATAGTAATACGGGAACTTTTACCTCCCCCATCGAGGGAACTTACCTGTTTCATTTCCATGCCTTGTCTTATGAAAGCAGTGTTAGCATTTTATTGATCTTTTTTGCTAAAAGCGTATGAAATGCAAAGCTTAACATTTTTGTTCAATAATTCAAATTTTCACCATCATGTGACCTTTCTGTTGTCTCCTTTTAACAGGAATTTTGGCTTGAGCTGTTTCACGACAGCCATTATATTTTGGGATCGTATGGGTATACGGGTGGATATTATGCTGACGCAGGTAACACAGCTGTTCTGCACCTCAGAAAGGGAGAAACCGTCAAAATAAAAGCTAGACCTGGTAGGGATGCTAGACTGTATGGAGATGATGATGAATACTATACCACCTTCTGTGGAGCACTTTTGTCACCAGTAATTTACGGAAGTGGTAATTTCTTTTTCCCTAATCTTTAATTTTTGTTGTTAATCACAGAGAATGTATTCGTTTTAACATTGACATTAAATCGTACTCATCCTTTTTTTTATAAATATAATGTGTTTTAGTTCAGGATCAGGACCATTTTTGCACTTATGAACTGAGACTTTTGCTCACTCTCTTGATGATATACTCTAACTTTGATACTTTTTCTATTATTAAAGAACGATAAAGCAATATCATTCCATTCTCTAGGTTATGACTTACAATCGGAAGTAGCTTTCTCCGTTGGCCTAAGCCATAACGAGCATTCATCCTCCAAGATAGTATTTAATGTGGTTTTCCTTAATCAACAAAACAGCTATAGCACCAACACCGGGATATTTACAGCCCCAGTAGCTGGAATTTATGCCTTTCACTACCACGCCCTGGCTCAACGAGCACTATCTGAGTGGGTGGAGCTCTATCATAACAAAATGTACGTCAATTCTCTTTATGCTCATGCTGCAGGAGGCTATGGACCAGGGAGTAACTCCGCCGTTCTTGAACTGGATGTCGGCGATACCGTGTATCTAACTATGCAAAACCATGGCTCGTACCTTTATGGAGGCAGTGATAATAATATTTACTGTACCTTTTCTGGGTACCTCCTATCGCCAACTGCTCTTCACGGTGCTGTTATAGGATAAAGTTTATGACATATAAATGAATTATGGAACAGTGCAGAGCTGTTCATGTTTTGTGTGTGTTTTGGGTATTAAAAAATTAATATGTAATTAAAAATGTTTTAAATGAAAACTAGTCATTGCTTTTTCTTTCTTTAATTCATCTCATATATTACATCGATTTAAAGATTTTACTAACGTTTAGGAATAAAGTATAGTTAACGTTTGGCACTTGAACTATGCATGTAAAAAAGGAGCTCGAGGTGGGTTAAGCCCCAGTAATATGGGATTCGGGGTATTTATGCTTTTTTACTCTGTCCGGCGGTCTGTCTAATTTAAAACTTTAACCTTGATTTTCCCATAACTTTTGAGTAGATGGGGCTATGTCTTTTATATTTATAATGTATTTCTTTGGACAATACCATTTCTTCGAGTACCCTGGACACACATTTACGAAAAATTACCAAAATTAACCTTAGACATAACTTCTGATCTATTGGTGCTTGAACTTTCATGTTTCATATATGTATTCATTGTGACAAGACTTTTATGATGGTTTTAATGTTTTTGACACTGACATGATAGTTTTAAAAACTTTTATTTTGGTCATAACTAGAGCTTTCATATTTCATAGGTGTATTACATGTGACAAAAGCTTTCTTCGGATATCAACAAATTTGACCTTTCTTTCTTGACTTTAGAATTTGACCTGCTTTTTAAAAACTTTAACCCTTGTCATAACACTTGAATAGGTAGTATTAGCTTATAGCTTATTGCTTTAAAAATCATGTCATCTTATAGAGAGATAATAATGTTCAGCAATTATGCATTTGATAATTTTATCAAGCTCAACTATGCATATTTACAAATCTACTTTCAGTTAGTATACTTGAAAACGAAAGAACCGTCGTAGTCTTAATTATGAAAAGTAAAAAAAAAATCTTGATTGTACAAACCTTTTCTTAAATTTTAGTTAATAAGGGAAAAAATCAGTGTGTTATTAAGATTGCCGATGTGCAATGATCAGATGGTCCATAATTATCTCTTGGATCTCTTCCCTCTTCAATGTATGAATATCTGCCCCACCCAAGAGCGCACCAAGGGAGACAATTTCGAAACTTGCATATTTAATATACCTAAAATAAAGTTTGCCTGAAAGAAAATCAAAAATTATGAGACACCGTTTTGATATTTACTGGCAAAAAGCGATATCACCTATTCAAATAGGTGATATCACCTATTCATTTCCAAAAGGTGATATCACTTTATTCGAATTGGTGATATCGCCTGTTGGAAATGAATAGGTGATATCACCTATTCGTGCTGAAGAGGTGTATCACTACAGAATGAAGTATACATTAACTTATACTAAATACAAATATATTTTCAGGCATTTGTTTTACAATGATTGATTGATTGATTGTATATTGTTTAACGTCCCTCTCGAGAATGACCTCCTAAATTCTTATTGTGACGTCATTTACTTGTGCATTTTCCCGTATATTCTTAAAAAGTTGCAGAAGTCACTAATTTCATTGATATTTTCTTTCAGAAAAATATTCTGCCACCGTCGCCCACAAAGATTTTGAGATATGTGATTTTTCAAACAAGTTTACATATTAATATATTCAAGAATTGAAGTGGGCGAAAGTGGCAGCAAACACTATTCTGCTTGACATATAAATATATGGGAGAAAACCTATAGCTAAAAATTCTGACTTAAAAAATGTAGGGTTAAAATTTGATGCAATTATGTGTAACCATCCGTCAGCGGAACCACAATTCCAACTCATTTCGTAATGCCATGGAAAACACATCGGACTCTACAAGGATATGGAATAGAAAATATTCCAAAGGAGTCTGTACTAAAAGATGCAAAATTGCTAGTATCTGAGAGTGGTTGAACGAAGGATGGCATTGCCCGTCTATGGTTTCAGCAGACGTATTTGCCAAACATTGACAGAGCTAACAAGCCACACCAGCAACTGCACACAGCCGCTAGACCGTTCCTTCTTTAATACTTTGAAAACTGGATGGGGCAAAGAAGTAAATTCATTTATCAGCACAACAGAGTTGCTGAAGGACACTTCCAGTTTCTAAAGGTATTTGAAAAGGCTTGGTCTGCATCTAAAAAGAAATCCAATGTACGTAGTGTCTTAATTTAAAGCGACGGAAATATTTCCGATCCGATTTATAAAAATAGATCCTAACATGATCCTGGTTGAGGCTTTTCTTTCAGCAGTACTATACACAGACGAGCCTTTCGCTCATACCAGTGGGCCATCTTCTTGTAACTCTGCTTAGACAATCTCCATCACTCAACTTAAACACCAGACTATTTTCCAACACCATCGCTAGATGATACAGATACACTGGCTGTTGCAGACACAGCTCCTGATGTAAGTGACCACACACTAATGCAGTCTATAAGCGCCTCACAAACATTAAACTGTCACCATAATTAAAATTGGAAAACATTATATTGCAGAGGAATTTTATTATTTTAAATGAAAGCATTTACCTGATATAATCAAGACATTTTTAAAATAGTTTTAATCAATACATCTAAGTTTTATATGATACATTTGGACTTCTTACATGACTAACTCAATTGAAAAATTGATAATTCATTTGATATTGGCCTTGGAGCAGTACTGTGTGGTCTCTGTGAGACGGACCTTTTCTAGTTGTTCTGTGGCGCAAACCTCAAACGCTTTCATCATTATCTCAGGTAAGTAACATCGGGATTCTGAAGTCGAAACTGTTAGTTTGTGCATGCGCACAATACCAACGGCTATGTGCAGCGCTCTCATGTATATAGCTTCCGTAGAGTAAATGTGACATTTGTATACAATCGTTCACTGTATGCTTATGATTTATTTGAAAATATTATATGAATTGTACATATTAATTTAATTCTGCATCTCTTTATAGAGGAAATATAAGATGAATGAATGAATGATTGGATGTCACTTATGTTTATCTCTTGCTTAGTCAAAAGGTAAAGCAGAAAGCAGCTGAATTATTCCTATAATTGTTGTTTTTTATGGTCTCTTTCCTGTCGAGACTGTGTCCTAAAGAAGCGAGATGTCAAAATGCTTAATTGCTACTTAAAGGCTGAATCCCCATCTAAAAACTCATCGTTCTTTAATTTGCTACTTCCGGTTGTGAACTTACATATTACTGTACTTTGATATCTTTTTTACTGAAGTTGCAAACTACGGTATAAATATGAAAATCCCTTATATTGGAATTATACTAACTTTATTTCTTGTAACCGAAATTTTCGTCGGAGGTAAGTTTTATATTAACCCTTCTTTAATTTGATAGTTTAAAAAAAAACATTGTTCTGAATTGATTTTTTTTTCTAAAGAATCCCTGGTGGTTACAGAAAAGTGGTGTCATATTATTTTTGTCAAGACATTTTTACTTTTCAAAAATTTAAAATTCACTGAGTTGGGAATTTTATTCTAGACTTTCAGCTTACTTTTCTTGAAATAGGTACCAGGGTATTTCTTATATTTACTCAAGCCCTAGAGGGGCTTTGAGTTATCTAAAACGATGCTAGGTCATCGAATTACTCGGTTTAAAAACACAAAAATATATTATTTTCGTAGATAAAAATATTTCTAGAAACAAAAATGAAGCTTATCTTGAAAACGTCAGTATATTCAAAGATATTAAGTGTTAAATATCGGATTCTTTTCTATGGCGAATGATCAATGAGTGACGCTCCTCAGCCGCAACAGTTTCTTTACAGAGAGTTCGCGCTTTCCTCTGCGTAGGAATCTCAGGTAACTTTTTACAGTCGCCGACATAGCATCCTTGGACGAGTCCACTTCAGACTCTGAAAGGTGACGCAGGTTACCCCCATCGCAACAAATTCTACAATGCATGGCCAGAAAATGTATGGCTGTACCCCCTCCCCCACGGAATGCAAATATTGTGTTCTTTGAGTGACAGTAAAATAATAGCACAAAATCATAGTTAAATTCTCGTATTATCTTAAGCTTTTGTAACGGAACCTATATTATGAAAACTTCTTTAGAATTCGTACGGAATAGGTATTGGACATGCCGCTCAGCTAGGTAAACCCCATCGTCTCAAGCCACAGTCCGGAGTAGGAGAGGATCGTACATTTCGGCCGTGGATTGCAACGATGGATAAATCTGTAGTCACGTGGATTTTGGAGCCCGGCACCCCCCCCCCCCTCCTCTTCCATTTTGAAAAACTTGCTCGTAGCAAGCTATTTAGATTGATATTGAATGTAATGTACGTCATTAAGCAAAAAATACAAAAAAGTATATAGTTTTAAGTATACTAAATGTCTACATAAAAAAATATTTCATGAAATTAAGATTAGAAACGGCAACGTTACTATGGTCTATAAAAATGTTCCTGCAAGTGTGTCACTGACGTAATTTCATCTTAAAAAGTAGTACGATTCATTATATTTCTTCTAATTAAATTCAATGTATGAATTTTGTTTCGTGTACATGTAGATTATTCAACAAAAGATTGAACTCCATATCCTTCATCTTAAAGCATTTTAGGATATTATTGAAACATCTGAATTTACTTTCTACAGCTTGAGTATTTCTGACGTTTTGTCAGTATATACTTGTTTTTTTATTCCAGGTCGACCTTAATTATCTCTGTTTTTTTCTTTTTTCTTTATTTTTTTTTATTTCTAACATTCAAGTGAGTGGAGTAAATTTTCTGAGAAGCTGGGACAAATAAAATAAATGTGTCATGTTCTAAATTTTGAGTTTACCCGGTCGCAGGTAAATTCAAAATTTACAACATGATATATGTATGCTTTCCATTATCTTATTTTAGAAAAACGTAAAAAATATCAAGGACTACTTACATACAAGTTTAAAAAATATCTGACCAGCTCTCATGCACAAGTATTTGTTTTACAGCAGGACGTTATAATTGCAAAAAACTAGATCTTGAAAATGGAGAAGCTAGATTACGAAGTAGGGGTCGTCTTCTTAGATTTCGCTGTAACAAAAGATTCATGCTTTACGGGGCGAAATTTGCTCTCTGTAAAAATGAAGAATGGACTTACCCCGCGCCTGTCTGCGTTGGTATGTTTTCGATAATGAATGAATTTTTACCTCTTCAATTACGTTTTTCACTATAATTGCACAATTTTATTTCATCTTGATCTATTGTAGCGGAAGGTGAAAAATGCCCAAATTTAAAGAAAACTAAAGATATGATGATAACCTCAAAGCTAAATAACGGACTTTTGATGTATTCCTGCAAGCCTGACTTAACGTTAATTGGAAATAGTACTTTGTATTGTGATGGGTCTAAGTGGAGAGGTGAAATACCACAATGCATATGTAAGTCATTTATACTTATATTGCATTCAGAAATGGAAAATTTTATAAAAATATTCTATTAGGTTTGCTTTTTTCACGTATAAATTGTTATACATGCAGACCCATAGCAACAGTTTCTAAAAATCGGATCAAAAGAGTAGACGAGCTGTAAAAACTCGAAAATCCTATTTCGTGGCGGATGTGGGGGGAAGGGTGGGGTGATCTTTCTCGTCTCCTTGGTATATATACAATGTATTTATTATGCTTCCGTCAGTTTTTCTCTATATAATCAATACCCAACAATTTCTGCAAAGTGTTCTAAGGATTTATATAGCGTAAGCATACTAGTTATATTTAGAGTACTCAAATTCTGCTGATTCAGATATACAGCGCGGGGCTTAAAGTGAGAGCGACAGCTCGAGCCTGGCCCCGTCCTATATCTCCGATAAAGTAGAAAAAGAGTACTCTAAATGACTTGTATCACGACCCCTAAATGACGTTTGTGTTTTTAAATGCTCTCTCGATTGAACAAATAAATCAGGTAACGGTATTTCACTGTTCAGCCAATCCGATACTAAATGATGGAATATGTTACAGTTACTGAAAAATTACTTGGGGCACCACGAGATATTATGATGGGCGGTGACGAGTTTGAGCTATTAGCAGATTTATTTTTGTTTTCATATGAAGCAGAATTTGTTCAAAATCTTATGCGTGAAAAGAAGAAAAGACTTGCTGTGGCCTTCAGCTCGACATTTAGATATATTGACGACGCATTGTCAATTAGCAATGGTGATTTCCATTTCTATGTCGAAACGATATATCCTGGTGAGCTTGAGATAAATGATACCACAGAGTCCAACACGTCTGTTCCATACTTGGATATTTTACTTGAAAGGGACACTAATGGTAATCTAACAAACAAGCTCTATGATATACTTTAACTTTTCTATCGTCAACTTCCCTTACCTATGCCGAAATATACATTCATCACCTGCATACGGAATTTATATATCTCAGTTGATTCGATACGCTAGAGCATGCTCTACGTATGAACAATTTCTAAAACGAGGTAAATTATTTACAAACAAGTTGGTGAAACAAGACTTTCAGCAGTCTCGTTTAAAGTCATCATATCGTAAGTTCTATGGTCGAATGATGAAACAAGACTATCAGCAGTCTCGTTTCAAGTCATCATTTCGTTAGTTCTATGGTCGACCTCGTCAGCAAATACATGTTATCATTGAGTCAATTGAGGGCTGACGTTTTTCATACTAAATGATAGTCCATTTTTTATACACTGAATTGACGAAGGATATATTTTTCCGATTATGACCAGGAGCACACTGCGGGTGTGACCGTTTGCCAGGGGATGCTCACTCCTCCTTGGCACCTGATCCCACCTCTGATTTTTTGGAGGTCTATGTTTTGCTCTGCTCCTATTTTGTATTGTTTTATTGACTTTGATTTTGAATATTGTTTATTATCTCAATATCCTTCAATAAAGAACTTGTATCATGTTAATCGTCGGTCACATAACCTTTAGTTTTAGTTCAACCCAAATTGACAATATTTTTTTTCCTTTTCACTTGCATTAAGCTAAGAGACAAGATGGGTATTAATTAAGCAAGAATTCCCACATTGAGGACCCATTCGAAATTTTTCAGTGGCTCTGAACAAAGTCGAGAAGCAAGACAACTTTTGTGTGTGTGCTTTGTAATAGTTACATGATGACACGAGATGATGCATACAAAATATCGTTGAGTTATTGCACGCGAGGAGGTGTTAATTAATAAAGACTCTGAAACAGAACCACGTGATAGTCTTAACGCAAAGGGTTTTTGGTATCCAAGTAACGTATTTACAAATTTGGTAATTTTCTTAGTACTGTACCACGTGATCATTTTCTTGAGATAATCAATTCATTTGTTCTATGATTTGACGAAAATGGCTAAAGGAGTCTGGCGTAAAGAATCGCCGTTTTTCAGAAAGCCTACGACGAGGATATTTTCAATCGAGTCAAGCAGTTAAGATGTATGAGCTCAGGCGATCGGATTTAAATGGCTCATATGGCCAGGACTTGATGAATTTCGATTTACCGAGTTGGTGTTTGGAATCATTTCCGGAATATTGAAACGGGAAAAGTTTACGGAATGGACTGAAAATACTAGATTCCGAAAACATGTGTCGGCCAGTGAAATAATCAAGAAAGGAAAACCACACGCCGTAACACTTCATGGGCAGTCAACATGGTTCAAGTGTTCAACGACTGGAAATCTCAGCGAAACAGCAACTTGGTGAGTTTAAAATCATTCCCGAAAATTCACTCACTAGTAAATACCAAGAACTTGCGTACACTATATCATGTTTTATACTCTGTAATTGAAGCCAGGCGCGCATATGGTTTCCCACATCCCCGAGGGCTTTATATCAAATAATTTCCAATATTCTACGGTTTATGAGAGCAAGTTGTTCATGATATGAACTTTTAAGAGGATGCCGGGAAGGAAAATTCTAATATTGAATGTGCGAATACCTATGAGAGATAAAGTTATCCGCTCCGCTAGACCGTGTCAATGTCTTTTTTGTAAATATTTGTGCTTTTTGTTTTAAACTGTGTTCCAGAAGAGCCAGGAAATTATTAATATTTAAGACATATCATTATCAGTTGTGTGAAAGATGATGTGTTTTGTGTTTTTTTCTTGTTTTTGTTATTAGTTCATTAAAAAGATCTAGAAACGAATTTTTGTCTCATTTGCATAGCTCCTTCTACATCCAGGGTCTAACAGTTACAATTGTAGATATCACTAGCTTTATATCACATATGTGATATTTAATATATCACCACACTTACGTTAATATGAGAAATACACCCTTGTGAAGATTAAAGAAAAATCTGTCGGTCATGGGATAATTAATATTCTCAAATTTTCAGTGCACAGGACTTTGTGTTTATACGGATTTACTGCCCCAAAAACCATTGATTTCTGGATTTGAAATCGTCATTTAACGAAACTCCCAGGGCATGTACCCGTTTTGTTAGTTTTATCAAAAATTAAAATGATAGCAAGCTCAGAAGATATTAAATACCACTGTATTGATTTCCACGAGGGAATGTGAACGATCATGCTACGCACGTAATTTGACGACGAAGTGGGGGGGGGGGCTCTCTCTACTTCTTTCGAACTTCTGAATATTTATTGTCATTTTAATTATAACCGAGTAACTGAAATGAAAGCGAGCTAAGCTGATACAATTAAATCACCCCCACCCAACAAGAGATTTTTGCTATATACCTAGACATTTTTCTGCCACCCCCTCCTCCCCTCGTCCCGGTTTTTTTTAAATAGTTTATATATAAAATAGATTTATGTGTACAGATCTGTAGCATTTTTTTCAATTCAAAGTAACATGCTCTAGCTGTTGGATTTAAAGTTTGATTTGCTACAATCTGATGAAAAAGCTGTTAGGTATTAGTTTGTCTGTCCGATCACGGTCAGTTAATTGTGCATATAAGCAGATTGAATTTCAAAGTCAGTTTGCATGAAAAATGAATAAAACAATGTTTGAAACATATTTTACTATGGTTTTCATGTTAGCTTACGTATGCGGGATATCATGTATATTTCAGAATTTAAGTAATTGTACAAGCAATAACTTCCAAAAGATACTTGATAGCGCATGCCATTACCTTCGCCTCCTTAAAGGTACCAAGATTTAATGCATAGCGATCTATAAAGGAAAAACACTGCAACCATGATACAAATAAATAAAAGTTGAGTGAGCGCGCAAAAACTGTGTTGCGATGGAACATGTGGACGCGTTTAGAGAATTTGAGCTGGGCAGCGATTTTGACTTGCTAGATTTGCCGTCTTATGATGAATTCCTCATAAATGAAATCGAAATGGTATAAAATTATGATTAGTTTGGGAGACGATAGAATACGAAAATGCGGCCTATGAAGGATTGATGGACATCTCGATATCCCCTCTGCCTGGCAATGACAACAGCTCGTTGATGGAAATCGAAAACAAAGACACTGTTTTGAGCGAAAGTCGGTTGCTCGACCGGTGAGTGATGTTGATATTAAGAATCTGATAAAAGACCAAGAAAATGTAAACACGAAAACGAAAACCAAATGAATCTATTTGAGAAATGGCGGGCCAGTAGAGGAGCGGATTTTCCCGAGCTTTACCACATGACTTCAGAACAGATGAATTTCTGGTTACATGTAGCACGATTCGTAATGGAAGCCCGTAAGAAAGATGGTACAGAATACCCACCAGGATCAATCTACTTGATTTTGTGCGGACTAGTGCGACTTTTAAAGGACAGTCGTCAACGACGGAGTGCACGACAAGAATTTCCTCGACGAGTGTAACGGAGAATTTGCTGAATTCCAGAAATTGATTGACTCAAGAATAAAATCCCTTTTCTACAAAGGGCTGGGGTGTGAGGTAAAACAGACGGATCCTATTCTTAATTATTCTTCATTAACCGTAGTGATAAACGTACCTGTGCCACGTAGGTGTACATGAGTGGAGTTTCGGAGAAAGAAATCATGCGACGCACAGGGCATAGATCCTAGAAAAGTGTGAGAAATATATATTATTATAACAGTAACTTGATCCGAAGGGTCGTATCACGTCGAGTTGACAGGCGCGGATCATCAGTTCTAACGAGACGCGAAGCGTCGAGTTTGATCTGATGATCTGCGCCTGTCAAAGAGACGTGGTACGGCTCTTCGGATCAACCCTTCATAACTAGCTAAATAGAGCAAAATAAAACTTTAAAGATCAATTGTATGATATTTATCCATAAAACAAAGCATAATTACAAGGGACTTTTTAACGCGCAAGAAAAATAACGTCATATTTCTGCGTACTACGTCATCAGTTTCAGAGAGTGGTGATATGGATTTAGAAAACAACATGTTGGTAATCCGGAAAATCGGATCACGACGTCACGCGCACTGCGTGAAAATTTGGCTTT